AATATATATATATATATATATATATAATTTAAAAAAATATTTTTATTTATATAGAAGTATATATAGTGATATATATTTGTTTATATTTATGTATATAGATATATATATATTTTGTTCTACGTGTATTTTGATATAAATATATATATATTAATATCACAATACAGTTAGAATGAAATACCACACATCTATATATTTTTGAATTATTTATTTGTAATTATTTTTTTAATTTTATTTTTTAACGTATTTACATTTTTTTATACTATATATAAATATATATAACAATAATTATATATATTTAATTAGTATCAGTCTACGTGTAATTCGATAGTAATATATATATATATTATATATATATATATATATATATATTTATATATACACATATAATATATATATACACACACATATATATTATACACACACACACACATTATATATTTATATATATATATATATATATATATATATATATATATATATATATACTTATATCATATATATAAAGTATATATATATATATATATGATATAAATATATATATTTTTTTTACACTGATTTTAAGTTAATTTTATTTTATTTCCAGCCAGCAGGGGGACTAACTGTCATTACAGGATCTTACGCTCACATGACCGGGGGGTGGGGGGGTGTAGAAGGAAGGATTTGCCGCGGGGGACTCCCTGGGATCCCAGGTGAGTCTCCCCAACCGCGATCGCCGGTGTGGGATCGCCGGCGACCGGGTAAGTAACAAAAAAATGGAGGGCGTACTATTACGCTCTGCAGCGTTTAGAGCCACTTAGAATAGGGTGTAATAGTACGCCCTTCAGTTTTAAGGGGTTAAGGGAGGGAGGGGGAAGTGTATTAATTTGCGGTAGAGAGGGGCAATGTATTATATCAGGTGCATTTCTTGCAGTCCTGATGCATGGAGAAATGCTCAACTCCTGATGCATGGAGAAAAGGCCTTCACAAGCCTCTGCTAATGTGTACATAGTTCATACTAAGTGACCCATAGGTTGAGGAGGCGGTGACCGTGTAGGTGGAAGCAGCGGTGGAGGAGGAGGATGAGGTAGCCAACACTGTTTTTTTTATGTATATATATTTTTTAATTGGGGTAGCCCCCAAAATATTGGGACATATAAAAAAGACAACTTTGTTCCACAGAGTAGCTGTTGACATTATAGTTGCGCAGGCACTTTGTTGACTCTAGAGAACCTCGGGTCCATCGCACATCCCCGTGACGGCGAATTTGCATTTGGATGTCATCCATATCAACTTTCGATGCCAGTTTCTGCGCCTACCATGGTGACTACAGGTAATGGGGAATTAGGGTTTCATTCCGTACAGGGACCCTGAGAAAAGGTTACCACATGCAAGGAGGGCAAGAGGCACGCAAATGACTCAGTGATGACAAATAACAATACAGGACTCTTTAGAGGCCCTGTAATTGTAATGAGTCCACTTGAAATCCTTTAACGCTGATCAATTGGAGGGAAGTCTGATGCAGAGCCACTGACCTGTGCGTGCTGCAGCTGAAACTCCACTATCGCCTGCTGCTGCTCGCATAGTTTCATGAGGCGGTGAGCGGGAAGGCCGAAGTTACGCTGCAGCGCAGACAAACGAACACTGATACTCAGATACACAGTGTTAGTTTGTTCGTCTGATATTTCTATTCACTCATTCGTCTGTCTGATGAATGGATGAATAGATGAAATTCCCGTTCGCATGTCCAGGTGTTTCACTGGGCATGTGCGGGAATCTCACAGTCTGTCTAGTGTGGGCTGATGACGTGTCCCACAGGGACTTCATCTACCCACACAAAGATGGCGGCGCCCTGAATATAGATCGGGGCAGAAAATAAAGATTTGAAAAGAGGTAATCTGGGGGCCTTAAGGGTATTTGGGGGTGACTAGTGGGTCAATTGGATGTAGTGGAGGCGGGAGGGGGTTAAAAAAAAAAACGGGATTTGGCATGACAGTGCCGCTTTAAACAGTCCTGATAATATAAAGACAATTGAGGCAATTTGAATTGACCCTCTAATGATATTTTTTATCTGTGAATATTTTGTTTGTTTGTGTGATTTACATCTAGATTCAATATCTGAATGCTAAAACAAATGTATTTGATGACCTACAGATATTATATCATTGTTATCGCCACACTAGAACAATGTGCTTTGTAAGCAAAGAAAAGAAAACAGTAGAAAATGGCACAATCAATTAAAATGAGTTAAAAGAGAAGCCCCAGATCTAAACCCCAAATGGAATTTAAATCTAGTATCTGTTGCCATCATGGGCAGGACTTATAAAAATTACAGCATTAACCTTTTATGCTTTACGTTTGAATACGACGGCTCTTTACATGATGAAGTCCATATAATGAGTATTTCTGTCCATGTGCTATTGATAAAACTGAACTTTGTTTAATAACTATGGATTCAGTGAAGATTTATTGGATTCAGTGAAGAAAACAGTACAAAGTCTATATTACAAAATCTCCACAAGTTAGAAGAGGAATCCCAGGAGTCAGCAAGAGAGGGATTTAAAGCTAGTACATGTTATCTGTCATAATATATATATAAGATAGCATCAGTCTAGGGAAATTTTGATATGTGCTCCAGTCCATTTGATTAGGAACGATCTTTATTTATTTATAAAATATTTTACCAGGAAAGATACATTGAGATTTCTCTCGTTTTCAAGTATGTCCTGGGTCCACAAATCATTGCATTGTTACATTAGGTACAACAAAATACAAAAACAATATTAATACACAATAAATACAAAATTTAACATAGAACAGGCAGGAAATATATAATCAACCATGACACGTGCATTCTGTTTTGAGGTATGTAGAGAGGGATCTCTTAAATGACTTTAGGCTTAGGGAAGATTTTAAATTGTGCGGGAGGTCGTTCCACAATTGCGGTGCTCTGTAGGAGAAGGAGGATCGGGCCGCTTTCTTTTTGTATTGAGGTAGACTAAGTAAAGTGCTTGTACTGGATCGGAGCTTATAGAAAGTGGGAACAGCTGGGGAAAGCATTTTGTTCAGGTAGGGTGGGAGTTTCCCAGAAAAGCTCTTAAAAACAAGGCTGGAAAGATGAAGGGTGCGTCTGGATTCCAGCGACAGCCAGTTTAGTTCCTTTAGCATGTCACAATGATGGGTCCTGTAATTACATTGTAGCACAAATCGGCAGAACGAGTTATACAATGTGTTGAGTTTATTAATGTGGGATTGCGATGCAGACGCATATACTACATCCCCATAATCAATGATTGGATTTACATGATAAGGTCCATTTAATGAAGATTTTTGCAGTGCGAGGCTCATGTCCATGTGCCACTGATAACACTGATCTTTTTTTATTTTTGAAAACTCAAGACTCCACATTCTTTAATAACTATTTGAGAGGCACAATGTATCTGTGTATGCAAGTTCTTCAAACTTTCAGAGAAAATCAGGTAAAGCTAAGGAAACAAAACAATGGGAAAATCTGCCCACAAAATTATACTATAAACAAATATTAACAATATCTCATAAGTTTATACGTAATATTACTACCAATACATATTGATCAAATATCTTTACTATTGTAGGAAATTGTCTATACACAAGATGTTTTTAGACTACTTTTTAGTGGAGACATGAATGGTAATTTCAGGACAAATTGAAGAATTTCCCTCAACTGGAAATTGTCATGTTATAGTTATATTGACCACTTAGAGCAAATTATATTAATATTTAATATTTTATTTTTATATTTGTGGTTTTGCAGGTAATGGGCTTTCATGCAAATAAATCTCAGGCTAAAATAGTCAACTACTACCGGAGGCAAATTTTTAGTTTTAAAATTCAGCTTTGAATTCTCTTCTGAATATCTCTCCTGTTTTTTTTTTTTTCTCTTATATACTGAGAGGCTTAGTTTTGACAGAGTTTCAAATTGCCAATCTTTGGGATAGTATATAAAAAAAATAAATAAAAACAAAACAAGACTACAAATAACTGAAATTTTCAGCATTATCTAATATCAAACAAAAATCTATTTATTCTTAGTTTCTAAATGATTATCTATAACATTTTATTTAAAATTTATACTAAAGAAATAGTATAGACACAAAAACAACTTTAGCTTAATGAAGCAGTTTTAATGTATAGATCATGCTCCTGTACTCTCACTGCTTAATTCTCAGCTATTTAGCAGTTAAAGCACTATGTTTAAGTAGCTCTAGTCACAACTCCCTTGGCTGTGACTTACACAACCTTAATAAACACTTGCTGTAAAGAGTCATCTAATGTTTAAACTTGCTTTACTGCACAGTCTTTTAAACTAATAATGTATCATTTCCTGCTTGCTTAACAGCCTTCCAGGTTTAAGTTCAATTTACAGAGCATGAGATAAAAATGTCTAAAGTAAGTTAACATGTGGATGATAATTAAATACTTTTTTCATGCAGGATATGTGAGACACAGCCAGGGTAGGTATGGCTGGGGCATAGACAGAAACAAAACAATTTAACACCTAAATAGCAGAGAATTGAGTAGCGAGACTGCAGGGTCATGATCTATACACTAAACCTGATTCATTAAGCTAAAGTTGCTTTGATACCTATAGTATCCCTTTAATGTTTATCTATCTATCTATCTATCTATCTATCTATCCCTGGTCACTGGAAAGTACCCCATTGATAGACAGAAACTATCTCTCCTAACCTAAGCCCTGCAGTGCAGAGCCAGCTCATTGGCTGAGCGTGTCAGCTAATTGTTCTCAGCCAATGACCCCAGGTAAGTTGGGGAGGGTCGCCAGGGCACTCATGTCACACAACCACTATAGTGAGCTAATTCATTAACATCCACAAGACTCTTATTTGGATTAGCTTCATATACATTAAAGGACCACTATAGTGCCAGGAAAACATACTCGTTTTCCTGGCACTATAGTGCCCTGAGGGTGCCCTGAGGGTGCCCTGAGGGTGCCCTGAGGGTGATCTTTACATGATAATGGACCTTATCATGTAAAGATCAGCTTAATGAAGTGGTCTGGGTGCCTGGTCCATCTAGGATTAACCCTTTCTTCTATAAACTTAGCATTTTCAGAGAAACTGCTATGTTTACAAATGGGTTAATCCAGCCTCTAGTGGCTGTCTCATTGAAAGCCGTTAGAGGCGCTTCTGTGCTTCTCACAGTGAGAAGACGCCAGCATCCATAAGAAAGCATTGAAAATGCTTTCCTATGGACTGGCTGAATGCGCACGTGGCTCCTGCCGTGCATGCGCATTTAGCCAATGATGGCGATATGGAGGAGGAGAGGACGAGGAGAGTTTGGTGCTATGGCCTACGATCAGTATGTGGCAATTTGTCAACCTCTTCATCATTATATTCTGATGAGCAGAATACACTGTGGTCTGCTGATCATCATGGCTTGGATCCTTGGTTTTCTTGTCACTTTGGGTCATTCAATTTGTATATCTAAATTTTATTATTGTACTACTCATCTTATTGACCATTTCTTCTGGGATGTTACGCCCCTTCTGAAACTCTCTGCAGTGACTCATCCATCGTAGAAACGTTATCTTATATTAATGGGACATTAATAATTTTTCCAGATTTCTTGCTCATTTTAGTCTCCTATATATTTATTATCTCCAGCATTGTGAAAATAACATCTGCAGAAGGACAACATAAAGCTTTTTCTACCTGCTCTTCTCATTTGACATGCGTTGCTATGTTCTACGGGACTGTCTTGTGCTTGTATATGAGACCCCCATCAAACTATTCTCCAAATCAGGACAAGTTTTTTGCTCTTCTTAATGTAGTTGTGGTCCCTATGCTGAATCCTCTTATTTATAGTCTCAAAAATCAAGGTTAGAACTTCTAGACAAGATGAAATGTTGGCAATTCTATATTTGTATTGAGCAACAAACATTTTGTCAAATAATGTAAACTTTATCAGAAGTTGCACAGGTTTATTATTTAGCTTGTAAATATAAACATTGCACATATAGACAAAATATAGTTTGTCTGTTCTTGAATTGTGGGATTTCATGTAAAAGCCATTTGACTACAGTTATTAAAAACTTAATATGTCCTTAGTGAACACTACAGTGATATTTCATATTGCAAATGTGCAGTATACACTAGGCATATGGATTCAGGAATTGGAGCAATGAGTATTCAACCAAATATTGGGCAATTCTTCCATTCTTACAAGTAACATATGGCCAAATTACTTGTTGGAAGAAAAGCTCTGCTTGATGCCCCCCATTTATCTTTCTCCTCAAACTGCTAGCCATGCTTGGGGACATAGGGGGAAACTATGTAATTAAAATGCTTAAAATGTGTTCATTAGAACTTTTCATTTATTCCATGAAGGCACAAGTCTAGTTTATACTTATCACAAAATCTTTGAAAACTTACTTCTTCAGGAAAGCACATCTATAAAACTGTGAACAGCTTTCCCTCCCCGCACCCTGATTCTTCTCCTGCAACTGTCATCAAAACAAATTACTAGGCCCTCAGTGAATAATATCCTAGCAACCTACTTTTCTA